TCGCTTCCTGTATATGCGAGGCAGGTTTCTGTCGGGGGAGGGGGGGGGGGGGGAGGGGGAGGGGGGGAAGGACTGGGGAATGGAGGAAAGGATTACCGGATGAGACACTGATTCCGTTGCGCCACACGACTGCTATTTTTTACTTCGTCTCCTTCGACCATCGTGCGGCGCAATGCGTCGAGCATGAATTTTGCTCAAAATTAAACCGGTTCCGAGATCCGGTTATCGATCCCATCGATGGTTATCGGCTCTCGGTAACCGGTAAGCATGAGACGGGTTAAGACCATAAAATGGGCGGTTTATAAGGGTCAGGTGAAGCTTCCGCCTGCATACGACCCATTAGAACGGATAACGAGGATTTACTTCCGGCCGATTACGACAGGAATGACCGATTTGATTATTGGCGAAAAAACCGGCGAATAAATTTCCCTTTGGCTTTTACGCGACTGGGTCTGACCGCGCCACGACTATCGACTGCGGGATCCTAAGACGAAAGATGGAGACGATCCATCGCGGAGGAGGGGCGAAGGTGAGGGGGAGGGGGCAACCTCGACGAGGTTAATTGAGAGCAATGCCAGGTGCTTGCCGGGCTTCTCATTCAAAGGATGATGGGGGAAAAACATCTCGTTCCGCGATAGCGCGACACGACGCACCTCGTCGAAGAGCTTTCGGGGGGGCCTCCAGGGGCATTCGGTAGCCTTTTTCATCTATCCCTTTCGCGTTTTCAGCCCGTTCCCCCTCCCCCCACCATGCATGTCCTCGCCTGGGATCGGGGAGGAAAACTGTGCGAACGGGAAACAGTGGCTGCAGGGACGCATAACGACGGGATGGCGTGCTCTCCTTTCCCGCCTCCATCTCTCTCTCTCTTTCTCGCTATCTCCGCCTTTTTTTTTTTGCTGGGGCCTTTCCTGGAAACGGACACGGGCACGGTCGCATCTCGTGACACCCACGTCCATTTTTTAAGATTCAGGAATGTCACGGTGGGGAGATTCCTTAGAGGCTGCGAGATCTATTGTTCTCGCAAGTCCATTCATCTGCAGGAGGGGGGAAGGGATGGGGGGGATGGGCAAGGTCGAGGGACACGCGAGTCACGAGCTGATGCAGCTCTCTTGCATTCCCTTGTATGGTCAACTTCTTCAAACAATCCTAAAATGAAATGTGTGTTTGTGTGTGTGTGTGAGGGGGGGGATAGAGGGGAGCTCTGACGACCCCACACAGGATTTGAAGGTAGTGCGACGCAATTTCACTTTGGACCATGTCGCCCGTGGAAACACGAAGAACTACATGACAGGGAGTGACGAATGACATCGGCTGCAGCCGCTCTTCGACGCTGCCGGCATCCGGACAATCCTTCCGCGAGGGCAAAAGGGGGGGAAAAAGCAGCGAAATGTTGCGATTCGGGAAAACGTTTCCGGAGACGGCAAGTTGTTCGCGGGCGTCGCGGTTTTTTTTTTCCGCCGGGAGGTTTCGTCGTGATCTTGGGCTTGTTCCCTCTGTTCTTCTGAAATCGTTGCAAACGGGTCGGCGAGCAGGTCGTTAATGGCCGACTGTTGAAAATCGTTATTTGTGGGCTTTGAAGTCTATTGATTAGTTAATATCTAATATACGAGTATATACTGTAGAAGATCGTGACTGACTGACGCTAATTCTAACTATGATTTTGGGATGCAGAGTTCAGAAAAAATACGACTTTGGAGGTACATGCCCTGGGGGCACCCATTTTGGGGGGGGAGAAGTTTTTAAAGATATATATAAGATATATACCACTACATATATATATACACTACATATATATATATATGTAGTGGTAGCGCACCTGACCGGCGATCAGGAGGCCCGGGTTCAACTCCCCGGGCGTTCCTTGGCTTTCTTTCGGCCTCTTATGCCTTACAAGTCGCGTTCCACATTCCGTAACAATATTTTTCCTTTAGTAAAACGGAGATACATGGAAAGCTGAAACTTGGCATGGATATGCCTACCGAGACGATGAGTTCAGGAAAAATGTAACATTTGTGGGGGGCATATTTTTAGGGGCCGACGTTAATCACTATCCAAAGTAACGCTAGTATTAATTAATGCTAATCGTGCGTGATCATTTTCCAAACTTTTTTTTTCCCGAGAGCGCAGCCTCATCTTTTCCCTCGAAAATATGAAAATATAATACATGCTATAAATCGCGAGAATAAGGTTCGGAACGGGGCTGGAACTCCCGTCACCCTTAATCATACGGCCTGAAATATGACTCGAAACGCGGCCTGATATATACCAGACCGTGACTTCCTTGAGAATTTCCTTTCCATTTTCATATCCAATTTCGGGGAAAAAAAAAAATAATAAAAAAGGATTTTGAGCAGCTCTTCCTTTCCCCCTCGTGTTTCGCTCGAGGTTCGGCGATCGCGGCGAAACGGGACGGGCCCTTTGGTCTCCGCCCTCTGTTTTTTTTTTTCTGTAAAAATTTGTTGTGTGTTGACGCGGATTATTGCCTCTTGGAACTGTTTCCTCGTTCTCGATTTCTCCCATTTCCCGCGACGTTCCAGAATTTGACTCGAGGAAGCGGTTGCTCGGGACGGGATCGGGATAGTTCCGCCCACGACCGCATCTCCAGCGGAAAAATCCCATTTGGGAATTGCTTCCCGTATTGACCGATCGAGGAAACCAATCTGTGGGATTTTTTTTTCCCCCCCCTTCAAAATGCACCGATCCGCAATTTTTCTCGAGATAATAGGAATTCCTTGAATCATTTCGTGCAGTGCTTGACTTTTTTTTCTCTTCCGGGAAATAGGAAGAAACAGAGAAATGCAGCTCTCGATGGGAGTTACTCACACGATGTCGTGCGAGGACGCAAGGGCGATCGAGGCTGATCATTCACTCCCGTCACGCCTGGGGGGGAGGGGGGCAAGGGGGAGCACAGGGGGGCTATGGGCCGGTAATGCAGGGGAGATCTTCCATTCATCGCGTGTGAATGGGGGATGAGGGGAGCCGAAACTCCTGGGTATTATGCTGGCCTTGGAGGGAAGCAAATTGGGTGAAGCGGGCCCGGACGTGATGTGAATCCGAGGGGGTTCTCGGGGAGTGGCGGAGGGGCACAGGGGGGGAAAGGGGGGAGGAAAGAGGGCAGGGAAGTGGAGGGTTCCTTGTGACCCGAGAACAGATGTACGGAAGGATTTTCGGCTCAACTTGATGGAAGTTTCATCCTCCTATATTCTCTCTCTCTCTCTGAGTGCGCGCTTCCGATATTCTCGACCTCTGCAATAGGCTGTTCCCGCGAGGAAGCCCGGATCGACTTCCAGGATGGGGAGGAAGTTGGGCGTCCGGGAACGAAGCACCTGTTCCGAAATGGGATCTCCCTTGGCCAAGGGGGTCCACGGTTGTGCTCCGCAGTTAGGCTGCTTCCTGGAATTCGGGTGGTTAGCGATCGCGGACGTCACGAATTCCTGGAAAGCTCCTCGACTCGGCCGATACCGATTTTAGGGTTGTCTGCTTCTCCCCAGAACGGGAGAATCCAGGAGGTGGGATCTTCGGGATCTTCCTTGGGATCTTCGAACGTGATTTTTGCGAACAAAATCCGACCGACCGTTCTTTTCATGGTACATTTCTCGTCATCCGTGCCGGGTAGGCATGCACGACTGAAACACCGCGCGTGGAAGATGCAGTTTCTTCCGATCTGGAGAGACCTGCAGCGTGAATTACAGAATCCTCTCAACCCTAAGGCAGTCCCGGGAGAATCCCTTCAGACTAGGATTGCAACTTTCCTCTGAAAATGAGATCTCATTTTTGGGGAGACTGACGCAGTTACGAGGAACATTTTCTCCTCCCGGGGGCTGCATCATATTCCTTCGTTGGATTTGATAACTGTCGCTTAGTGCTTTCTTGGAGTGCAAGGCCCCAGAATTAAGGCACAGCTTGGGCTTCCCATTTCACCGCCTCTTCGTCCCCCCCCCCCCCCCCCCCCCCCCCCCCCCCCCCCCCCCCCCCCCC